AACCCTAACCCTAACCCTAACCCTAACCCTAACCCTAACCCTAACCCTAACCCTAACCCTAACCCTAACCCTAACCCTACCCCTAACCCTAACCCTAACCCTAACCCTAACCCTAACCCTAACCCTAACCCTAACCCTAACCCTAACCCTAACCCTAACCCTAACCCTAACCCTAACCCTAACCCTAACCCTAACCCTAACCCTAACCCTAACCCTAACCCTATCTTGGCCCTAACCCCATGTTAACCCTAACCTTAACCCTAAACCCTGCCACAGCGCGCTACCCTGTATCAGCGGTTAGCGGTTAGCTCTTTTATACTGCTGTGCAACCTGCTGTAAGCGGATTTATATAGGTTTATCTACCTACCCCTTAAACCTTCTTACTTACTTTTCTTTTAGTACTATTATACTTCTGCTAGGAGCTAAAAATATAGATTTAATATCTCTTTTATCTTAACCCTCTGTAGCTTCCTAATAGACCTACTTTTCAAGTTAGCTACTCCCTTTAGTCTATTTTATTATTATTTTTTTTTTTTCCTTTTTTTTTTTAAACTCTTCTTTTTTTTTAGTAAACCCTAACTCTATTACTCTTCCTCTATCTCTCTCTCCTAAACTAACTCTTTTCTAAACTAGCTCTCTTCTAAACTAATCTAACCCTCTTCTAAACTAATCTAACCCTTTCTAAACTATCCCTCTCCTAAACCAATCTAATTCTCTTCTAAACTAATCTAATCCTCTCCTAAACTAATCTACTCTTCTAAACTAATCTAACTCTCTCTAAACTATCTCTCTTCTAAACTAATCTAATCCTCTTCTAAACTAATTTAATCCTCTCCTAAACTAATCTAACCCTCTCTAAACTATCCCTCTCCTAAACTAATCTAACTCTCTCTAAACTATCTCTCTCCTAAACTACTTCTCTCCTTCTTCTAAACTATCTCTTTCTCTCTTTTAATCTTATTCTTACCCTCTTCTAAAAATTATATCTTACTCTCTCTATATAACTCTAACTTACTCTAATTTAATCTTTAAATAAATATATTAACTTAAAATTAATAACTTTAAATATATAACTATATATATTCTTTTTTTTTATCTATTTTTATTCTCTTTTTATCCTTTATATTTACTCTAAAATAAATACTTTTAATCTATTCTTATATAATATATTTAATTCTTTTAATTTTATCTTAATTATTCTTTAAACCTTATTTTTATTTAACTTTATATTTCTAACTCTATTACTTCTAACTCTTTTTATATTTTATATTATACTTTTTTATACTTTTTTACTCTTTACTTTTCTCTCTCTCTTATTTTAATCTTTTACTCTATTATTCTTTAACCCTAAACTCTTAACTCTTAATATATATATATATATATCTTAAACCTAAGTATAATAGTTTAATATAAAAACTAGTAATAATATAGTATAAGTTAAATATAGTATATAAAAATTAAAGTATATCTAGTAACTCTATACTCTAATAACTCTATCTCTTTATTTTAATTACTTATTCTAATTCTATACTTATAGTATTAACCCTAACCCTCTATTTTAATTACTTACTCTAACTCTATACTTATAATATTAACCCTAATCCTCTATTTTAATTACTTATTCTAATCCTATACTTATAGTATTAACCCTAACTCTCTATTTTAATTATTTACTCTAATCCTATACTTATAGTATTAACTCTAACTCTCTATCTAAATAACTTATCTTAACCCTATACTTATATTAGTAACTCTAACTCTCTATTTTAATAACTTACTCTAACTCTATATTTAAATATCTTATTCTAATCCTAATTTTAACTAATTAACCTTAGCTTTTAATAGTAAATAATATATTATAACTATAACTTAGATATAAAATATATATATTTAGTAGTCTTTCCTTAAATATACTTTATAGTATCTTTTTCTCTTATTTTACTATAATCTAAAACTTATATTATTATTTATATTAGTTTATTTATCTACTTATCTATAACTCTCTACTCTATAGAGTAGTTAATTTTATATTTAATCTATAATCTTTATATCTATTTATCTATTTATACTATAAAAATATCTTTATTATAATATCTATATCTATTTTATATTCTTATATATCTCTTAAATAACTACTTCCTATAAAGTATATATATTTATTCCTCTTTTCCTATAAAACTATCTTTTAATCCCTAGCTACTAATAAAATACCTACTTATCCTTTATATTAATCCTAAACTCAGCTCTAGCTATATCTCTAATATACTAGCCTTAGCCCTATTAATACTACTAGTAATATCTTATCCTTATATATATACCTACTCTCTTTATCCTATATCTTCTTATACTAGTCTAATAGTAGCTTATATATAAAGCAGTATAATAACCCTGCTACTATCTTATACTACTACCTAGCCTTCTTATACTATAGCTAATTCAGAACCTTCTCTAGCTCTAGTCCCTTCTGATAATATTAAATATAATATACTAGATACTTATTAGTAATATTATCTAGCTACTGGAAAAGCATTCTAATCTGTATACTCTCCTCCTTACTAAATACCTTCTAGATTATTCTACCCTTTATTATATTATTACCCTTACTTTCCTTTCCCTAACTAGTCTTACTAGTAGTCTCCTCTTTAATTCCCCCCTCTGTTTTATATCTACTCTTACTACTATTATTATCCCGCCTAAGTAATATATATTAATTATAAAGCTCAGCCCTATCTATACCCTTATATATCTCTCCTACTATTCTATCTATAAATACTAAAATTATAGCCCTTTAATATTCTAATATTAATATAAATACCTCTATCTATACCTAATTAATATTATCTATAAAGCTTTAATACTAATCCTCTTATTATACCTGTCTATTATATATAATTATAGACTGAACTATCTTATCTACCTAATACTCTTCTTAGCTAGTTTACTATATAAAATTAATAAGCCTATATAGCTTTACTATATAAACTATAGCTATAATCCCCTTAATATTAATATCTATCCTTAGCCCAGTTATTACTATAATCTAATAGCTTATATAACTGCTCTCTATCTATACTACCTATACCTTATAATACTCCTCTTTACTTATACTACTGTAATAAAATCTATAGCTAATCTTATTAGCTATTACTTTATATTAACTCTTAGATTAATAGTATATAACTCCCTTCTTATAATCTATTATTTCTCTATCTAATTATTTAACTACTTTAACTATATAATCCTCAATAGCCCTATATCCAGGCTTAACCTGCTGGACCTTATAGTAGTAATTCAGCTTTATAGTCTAATCCTATACTATAATTACTAACTTTACTAATATCTCGCCCTGGAACTAATTCTCTAGTATAACGGATAGTATTACTATAAGTAGTATAATTAGACAGCTAAACTAATATAAGCCTACTAGTTTACTAAGCTTAGTCTAGTAGCTGATATCTATAATAATAGTATAATATTTATTAATAAATATCTACTGCAGTAGCTCTATATATACTAGTCTATTAATATATCTGGAAAACTCAGTACTTAATATAATATTAGTACTAATAATAATTAAATATACTACTTATAGTATACCCTCTTATCCTGAATTTATTAATAATCTGTATTAGATATAGTTAACCCCTATATATATTACTTACCTAACTAAGTTATTTATTAGTATAATAAACAGTATAACTATAATACTTATACCTATATTCTCTATTACAGCTAGTAGTATAAATAATATACTCTTATCTGCCTCTATTAGCAGTATATTAATTACTATCTAATCTGCTTTAAGTACTATAATTAATTATATACTCTTAGCTTACTTATTAGATTACTAAGTTATCTTCGGTCTAAGCAGCCTTTATAGTCTGTTTATTATCTCCTCCTCTATCTTCTTCCTCTTCTAAGCTAGTTCTTCCTTATAAGCAGTTTTTCTTTACTTATAGCTAGTAGTTACTTAGCCTGAACTGATATTTCTTTATTACTATTACTACTTAGTCTCTTACTATTTAACCTATACTTCTATTTCTTCTTCTTTTTTTCTCCTTCTTTTTCTATACTACTACTTCTATCTAGAAATTAATACTATAGCTTACTAATCTCCTTAAATATTATAATTATCTCCGGTTACAGCTTACCTAGAAACCTGATATATATAGTATAGTACTACCTTATAATCCGTATTCTATATATTAACTGCAGATCCTATATAATATTCCAGCTTCCTCTATAGTTAACTAGCTTATCTATATTCAGATTAATCTTAATATTATTATTCTTATTCTTATCCTCTATCTTACCCTCTAGCTACCTTATAATAAGCTCTTAAATCTTCTGTTCTATCTTAATTATAACTGCTTAATATTATCCTACCCTAAGTCTTACCCCTATCCTAGCCTGTATAATATAAGAAAGCTTCCTACTAAGTTAGTTAGTTTCCTATACTACTAAGCTACTATCTCTCTATATATACTTAAGCTGCTCTATATATAGCTCTATAAGCTAATACTCCTACTATAGTACCCTCTCAGCTGGAAGTAGCTAAGTAATATATACTATAATTATCTGCTTAATCCGGTTAGGGATAAACTATACTACCTTCTAGCTATTATTATAGATTACTACTATATTACCTTTATTAGCCCGGACTCTAGCTAGTTATTCTTCAGATTACTTATAAATAACTAATCTACCCTAAGCTGTATTATATTATTAATAATTTACCCTATATTAATCTTTTAACTAACTATCTATTATACCCTTTCTAAATAGCTTATCTAGTAGCTTATCTATCTCTATAATCTCCTTATATAGTATATAAGTAAAATCCTTAATACTAATATACTTACCTATATAGAATATTACCTCTTTATTATCGGACTATTATATTAATAGCTACTCTCCTATCTTCTATTAGTACTCTTTCCTATATACTATCTATCTAATAACTATACTTATAATAGTATAAGTACCTATATATATCTATAATATATACTACTTCTGAAATATAAGTACAGCTTTAACCCTAATCTTATCCTGATCCAGTAGCTAATTCTTAAATATAGCCTCTAAAAAAAAACTACTATAGTATAGCAGTATATATATATATATATCTAAATTCTAACCCTCTAATACTCTAATTCAGCTCTCTCTATTAATCTATAAAGCCGGAAGAACCCCTAATACAGCTGATTTATCTCTATATCTCCCTATTTAACCTTCTCTCCTAGCTA